GTCTCGGCGATTCATCCGAGGTTTCGGAGGCGACGCGTAGACGCGCATCAATGCCTCGTAGAGGCGCCCGTTCCGAAGTTGGAGGTCGACCACCACAAACCAGTGTGCGGTCATGGCATTCCAGCAGACACTCAACCGTCTTTTGAGCACGTATCATTACTGTACATGACAGCGACAGCTTGCACTTACTCGTCTCCTTTAACAGTCCCCGTTGCTCTCGCCGGTGCCCTGTTCCAGTCTAGCATTTACGATGTTCCCGGAGGTTTCAGGGCTGTCATGTTCGACCGGTTTGCGGGTGTGAAGGACGACGTACGTGTATATGCTCTTTATTATAGTGTCATGAGCTTATATATTCTGCCCGGTACCAGGCAAAGCCCGAGGGTACTCATTTCCTCATCCCGTGGCTGCAGCGGGCCATTCTCTACGACTGTCGGATCAAGCCGAGAGTATGTCCTTCGTCGTAAGGTCTGGGCTCTATAACTAAAGTTTATGTAGAATATTTCTACCACCACTGGCTCAAAAGACCTTCAGATGGTCTCTATCACCCTCCGTGTGCTCTCACGCCCCGATGTCGAGCACCTCTCTAAAATCTATCAAAAACTTGGCCTCGACTATGACGAGCGCGTGCTGCCTTCCGTCGGAAACGAAGTTTTGAAGAGTATCGTTGCACAGTTTGATGCAGCAGAGTTGATTACCCAGCGTGAAGTTGTACGTAACGAGCGCAAATTTCCAATTGCGGCTATTGACGGAAAGGATAGGTCTCGTCGCGGATACGCGAAGACCTACTCCAGCGTGCTGGGGAGTTCAACATCAAACTTGAAGATGTCTCCATTACCCACTTGACGTTCGGCAAGGTTCGTGAGCTCATCTATGTCAGTATGACGCCACTGACAGACACCTCTGTAGGAATTTACCCAAGTAAGTACTAGAAGGTGTGGATGCTAGGGCTTCTCTGACCGTTAATGCAGGCCGTCGAGGCCAAGCAAATTGCTCAACAAGGTACGTCTCTGTCTCTACAGTCTGCAATACTTCTTTGCCTGACCCATCGTTAGATGCTGAGCGTGCGAAATTCATCGTCGAGAAGGTGAGGAGCTGGAGTTTCTGTGGGCATGCGCCAGAAGCTAATAATGCTCGTAGGCTGAGCAGGAGCGCCAAGCGGCCGTCATCCGCGCAGAGGGTGAAGCCGAGGCTGCCGCGGTTATCTCGCAGGCCCTGAACAAGGCTGGCGAGGCATTTGTCGCATTTCGCAAGATTGAAGCAAGCAAAGCGATTGTACAGTCACTGGCGAACAACCCGAATGTGACCTACATCCCGAGCGGCGGAGGAAATGTGCTTCTAAATGTTCCTACTGGCCGCAATCAGTAGTAGTTTGTTTACCTGTCATCCTGTAATTAGTCTATTCCTTCTTTGGTGTTCCTGCAAAAGTTATGGGCGTTGTGGCGCGAAAATACCTTGCGCAGGAGGGGCCGTGCCGAGCTTTGATAATCAGTGATCGGAGATTGCCGAAAGAGGTCTGCGTGCGATTCTGGCAGAGCCTCTTTCTTGCCAGGAACCGTAACGAGTCCGCTGTCTCTCTGACTGTTCTCTCGTCTCTGTCTCTTTTTCCTCTCTGTTTCTCTCTTCTCTCTTCTCTCTATCTCTCGTCTCTGTCTCCTACTCTCTTCCCTTGTATCGGACTTGCTCTGATATTTTTTCCCCAATTCTCTGTTGTGAGTATCGCCTCGCATCGCGTGTCCTTCCACGAGGAAAACTCACTGCTCTCGCCAGGCATAACGATTTTCGTAGTCTATCTATCATCATGATGAGCCCATTGTCACCGGCTGAGGCCCCGGTACGTCTGTGCACGCTTTGGCCAAAGCTCGTCTGATCTGACTCTGGCTGCTCATTCACCCTCTTCCAGAGGCGGGCCCATCTCTACGTCGGCAACTTGAGTCCTCGAGTGACCGAGTACATGCTCACAGAAATTTTCGCTGTCGCTGGCCCGGTCCAGCACGTCAAAATCATCCCCGACCGCAACTACCAGCACGGCGGCTTGAACTACGGCTTCGTCGAGTACATGGACATGCGCGCGGCCGAGACGGCACTTCAAACCCTCAACGGGCGTAAAATCTTCGACACGGAGATCCGTGTGAACTGGGCATACCAGGGTCAGCAAAACAAGGAAGACACGACCGGCCATTACCACGTTTTCGTCGGCGATCTCAGCCCCGAGGTCAACGACGAAGTTCTCGCGAAGGCGTTCGCTGCCTTCGGCACCCTCTCCGACGCCCGAGTCATGTGGGACATGAACTCTGGCAAGTCCCGCGGCTACGGCTTCCTCGCCTTCAGGGACAAGACAGACGCAGAGCAGGCTATCGCAACCATGAACGGCGAGTGGCTCGGTTCGCGGGCCATCCGCGTCAACTGGGCGAACCAGAAGACCCAGGGTGCTCCCCCTCCTCGTGCCGGCAACGGCGGCAACGGCAGCGACGGCGGTCACGGCGGTGGCGGTGCGCCTGCCCCAATGAACTTCCAGGGCGGCCCGCTCTCGTACGAGTCCGTCGTCCAGCAGACCCCCGCGTACAATTCGACCGTCTACGTCGGAAACCTCGTGCCGTACGCGACGCAGGCGGACCTCATCCCGCTCTTCCAGTCGATCGGCTACCTGTCCGAGATCCGCATGCAGGCCGACCGCGGATTCGCCTTCGTCAAGCTCGACACGCACGAACATGCCGCGATGGCCATCGTCCAGCTCCAAGGCCAGATGGTCCACGGCCGCCCGATCAAATGCAGCTGGGGCAAGGACAGGGCGGACGGCGGCGCCCTGACCACGGGTGGCATGAGCCCCACCCCTGCCGCCGCCCCTTACGGCAACATGGTATGTTCGCGCACGCTCCTCTCTCTCTCTGCACATCGAATCACACTGACGCCTGTGACAGCCCATGTACGGGATGCCCCAGCCCAACTCCTACGGCCAGTATGGCTTTGGTGCCTACGGTGGAGCCCCCGGCAGTGCTGCTCCTGGGATGCCTAGCCCATCCGGCGCCGCTGGTGCCATCGGCATGGGCGCTGCTGGCCAGGCTGGTGCGGCGGATCCCGCTGCTGCTGGCCAAGCAGCTCAAGGCCAATGGGGCAGCGCCGATCCTAGCGCTTACTACAATAACTACTGGGGCGGTAGGTGCAAGCTTCTCATGACACGCGCTCTCGTTGACTGAACTGGTGTTGCTGCAGGTTACTACGGGCAACAGCCCGCTGGACAGGGCGGCGATGCTCAAGGTGCAGCTTGAATTATGCTTTACTAATGCGAACAACTCTTGTTCGCCGTCGAATGTAGCATCCCTCTCCTTTATCTGATGTTTGCTCTACGCTTGTGCCAGTATCAGTCGTCAGTTCGCGTGGTTCTGTAGTTCTGTTCTCACGGGCATGCCAGGATGCTCTATATTATTCGAATGTCACCACCGCTTTGCAATACTGATCCGCCGCACGCGTATGCCATCACATCGTCTGGAGCGCAACACCCACAAGAAAGAATGTTCATAGGTTGCCGGACATCGTCAATACGTCTACAAGCGTTCATACATCCCTGTCTACGCATCGCCGCCGATGGCATCACCGGTTGTCGAGTCTCCGCCGGTACCAGACGTGTTCGCCCCACCAGCGTTGGTGATGTCCGTGTCGTCTTCCGTTGCATTGATGACATCGCCTCCACGGTCGTTTCCAGCAGCGCCAGAGTACGCGTTACCGCCACCATTGCGGAAAGGAGGAGGAGGGGGAGGGGGAGGGGCTATCATAAAAGTTAGCCAGTGTGCAGCTTTACTGAGAGACTGGCTACATACGCGCACCGCCGCTAGCCGGAGGCGGGGGTGGAGGAGCTCCGTTTCCCGCACCCGCGCCACCGTTTCCGCCTCCGGGGAAGTTGCCGCCACCGCCGCCGCCGCCGTTTCCTCCACCGTTGCCGTTGTTCTGAGTCTCACCACAAGGTACGTCTTCTCCGTTGCAGACATCACCACCATTTCCGTCGCCGACAGAGCCGGAATAAGCGTTGCCACCGGTACCGTTCGGGCCACCGTGGCCACCAAGTGCGTCACCTGAAGTGGATGCACCGCCGGTACCGGCAGTGTTGCCACCAGTGCTAGTGATCTGTCGGCGGGTGATCTCGAACCCTCGAGCGTCACCACCGATAGCGTCGCCGCTCGTCGTTGTGGTACCGTCACCAGCAGTGTCTAAAGGATGTGCTATTAGCTGGCAGTGCGACAACCAACGAATTAATCACCGCTTACTGGAGTCAGTATTGATGATGTCGTTCGTGCCTTCATTCGCGACGAAACCACCGTTGGCATTACCGGAATGACCGCTGTAGGCGTTTCCGCCGCTACCAAAGCCATCGCTGTCACCACCAATGGCGTCACCGGTGGCGGCGGTACCAGCAGTACCGCCAGTGTCTGTGTTGTCGACAGATATGAGCCCAGTGCGGAGAAGAAACAGGTAAGCCACTCACTTGAGGCAGCGTTTGTAATCGTATCGCCTTCGTCGCCTGCCTCGTTCAGGTTGTTGCCGCCAGAGACGTCACCGCTAGCACCGCTGTAGGCGTTGCCGCCGGCTGTACCGAGGTCGTTGACACGTCGATCATGCTTGTGGCGGTTGGTAGAGCGTTTGAGTTCACGAGCGACGCTGGGGGGGTGCACACTTTCGGCGGGGCTGGCGAGACCTTGGACAGGGGCGGTGAGGCCGTTGGGAATGTTGGGAGAGGCGGGGGCGGCGCTGACGAGAGTTGGGCTGACGGCAGCGGCAGCGAAGAGACCGAAGGCGATGACGGGACTACGCATGCTTGCGAGGAACTGACGAGTCGAAGAATTAAAAGGATAGTACTGTACCGTCGAAGTGGAAGAGGAGAGAAAGGTGGGCGAGGGAACGGACGGGCGACCGGGTCTTTATAGGCGAGGACGCGAGATTCACGTTCCGCTCTGTCTTCGCGGGCCCTTGGCTGACCATCGGCGAGCCGAATCCAGCAAACCTGCTGTTTATGGCGGGGCCAGTGCCCGAAGCGGAGGCGCGCCGAGGAGAAGTCGCGACGGCCGTTTCCAAGCGGCGGTCCACGGCGAGGACGGCGAGGACCAGCTCAGACTTCGGCCAGAATGTCCAGCGTCCG